TACTCCATAGCTCGGGCTGGCCAGAAGGGCTACCACCACCGCACGGAGCTCAACAAGAAGGTATGGCCCAGGTGGGCTTCCTCAGAGCACCACTGCACCTTCCTCCCTCCCTCCCTCCCTCGCTCCCACCATCCTTCTTTGCACAGTGGCCTCTGTTCCCCCAGCTTCTCAGGTGTTTCCCTAGAGATCTGCAGTGCTGCTGTTCTCCGTGTCTTTCCTGGTGTGTGTTCCCTGCTTGAGGGACACATCACAGGGGACACATCTTGGTAAAGCTCTCATTGTCCCTGTGACACCTCTCACCGAGGCGCTGGGAAAGTCACCATCTCCATTTCCTTTCCATCCCCAGATTTACCGCATTGGCCACGGGATCCACGTGGAGGATGGCAAAGTGGTGAGGAACAATGCCTCGACGCACTATGACATCACCGAGAAGACCATTACTCCTCTGGTAAGGGCTGAGGGGGTAACAGGGCTGTGACTGGCCCTGGCTACAGGAATCTGAGCCAAGAAAGTAATTCCTTGGCTGGAGAGAGCGTTGTAGGAAATGATTTGAAGGAAATTCACTGAAAGAAATGGAGTGATTCCTTTCCTCATGTTTTGGGCATGGAAAACCATCTCTGTGAGGTGCTTTTTTAGGTCTGTTAGTAGACCCCAAACATTTAACTTTCAGCTGATAACTTGAGCAGGAGCTGAGAACTTTGTTTAAAAAGAAAACAAAAAGTATAAATTACATTAAAAATCTGACACTTAACAGATAAATGTTTGTTACTTGGATTTAATATTCACTTTTGTTTATTAAAAACTGTGAACTCGGGAGGCTAGCCAGCTCTGTTCACCCACATCCTCCAGGGAAGGGAGCAGTGTTGCTGGTTCCCCAGCTCTCAGGGTTCTCCTTAGCTGGGATCATGCCCTCAGTGTGGCTGATGTGCTCTGATGGTCCTGAGCAGGCAACCTGAAAGGTGCAGAGTGCTGTTGGCTATAAGGACTGTCGGTCACTACCTTCTCCTTCCCTAGAAGATGCTGCCTGTGCACATGTCTGCTCCCATCCAGCTCTCCAACCTGCCAACCTTCTCTCTGCCTCTCCCCACAGGGTGGCTTTCCTCACTATGGTGAGGTCAACAACGATTTCCTCATGCTGAAGGGCTGCGTTGTGGGCACGAAGAAGCGTGTCCTCACCCTCCGTAAGGTGAGAGCACAGCCAGGGCTCGACAGGGACGGGCTGTAGCTCTCCACAAACAGATTCACTGCGTGGAGACTGTGGAGAATGCCACTGCCTCCACATGTTGGGCAGGGAGAATGGTCGGGTGCTTGTTGGAGAGGGCAGGTAGCACATGAACAAGGTGCTCAGGGAGAACACTCGCAGTTAGGTTGGTTGGTTGTGGCGGTGTGCAGTCAGATCTCCTCTCTCTCTGGAGACAGAAGCTGCGAGCCTGTGTGGTTGTGATGGGAAACCTTGGCCGTAAGCAGACTGTGAGGAAATGAAATGCTGAGTGAAGAGCAGGCTCCTTTCAGAGCTGCTCTGCAACCCAAGGCATCACCTGCCACTTGAGCAGCGGGGTGTTTCTCTGAGAAGGCAGATTTTCCTGGAGATATTTGTCTCATGGGTGCACCTAGGACATTTCAACCCTGCTTCCACCAGAGCAGACGTCCAGATTTTCTGTAACCATAAACCTGATGCATTGTGACTCTTCTTTTCCAGTCCCTTCTGGTGCACACAAGCCGCCGGGCTCTGGAAGCAGTTGAACTTAAATTCATTGATACCACGTCCAAGTTTGGCCACGGCTGCTTCCAAACAGCTCAGGAGAAGCGAGCTTTCATGGTGAGTTACACTCTGCTCCAGCTCCACTTCCTGGGCCGTGCTCACAGCTGGGGCTAAAGCAACTGACTGACTCCCAACCAAACATCTGCTTCTCAATATAACAACAGCCAAATGAGTGATGGGGACTGTCTTGTGTAAAAGACAGGCAGGAATTCAATTCACACAGCAGATATTCTGCTAAGGAAGAACATGATGGTTGTGTGAGTGATCCAAGACAACCCAACTAGCAAATAATATACCAGATGGCCAACCAGTTTCCATTCACCACAGGATGTTTTAAACAAGCAGTTAATTTGGCAGGCAGTGCCTTGCACATATGGTCCCTTTCACCTGTAATCGTGCACTTCTTTGATTGTTTGGAGTGATTTATAACTTAAATGTTTTAAAAGGAAAAGGTTGGGTCAAACTCAGACACAAATTTGCCATATTTTTGTCAGGAAGCTTACAAAAAGGCCAAGCAGTATATTTTTCTTAAATCTAGGAGGGGGGAAATAAATAAATAAACCCCAAACAAACAGTTTCTTTAATAGATTTGCAACCTACACCAGGCTGGTGCATAAATTGAGGAAGTGTTGAGTAAGCCAGGCCTTCAGCCAGCAGAAATGAAAGAAACGACTGCCTGGACACCACGCAGATGTCAACTGTGTCTGGATCTGGCCTGTCAGCTAGAAATGCCACGTGGAGCTGGCTAAGCCTCCTTAGCCCCGGGCAGGGGGATTGGCTGTGCAGCCTTTGCAGAGCTCTTTAGAGGTTAAGCTGTTTTCCTTTATCTCAGTGTTAGGAGCTTGTTCTGTGTTCTGCTCCTGCTGGCGCTGCAAGTCCTGAGCAGCTGTGACGTGGATCTTAGTGACAGGAGGTGGTTTTACCTGCTTGCAGATGTTTTCTTTGCCATTTTCTACTGTGGGGTGAGAGTTTTATAGAATCATCGAGTGTTGTGAGCTGGAAGGGACCCACAAGGATCATGGAGTCCAACTCCTGTCCCTGCACAGGACAAGCCCAACATTCACACCATGTCCCTCAGGGCCTTGGCCAAATGCTGCTGGAATCTTGTCAGGCTTGGTGCCATGAGCACCTCCCTGGGGAGCCTGTTCCAGTGCTCCACCACCCTCTGCCTCAAGAACCTTTTCCTCATGGCCAACCTCCCCCTCCCCTGCCACATCTTCCTGCCATTCCCTCTGCTCCTGGCATTGGTTGGTGGCCAGAGAGAAGAGATCAGCGCCTGCCCCTCCTCTGCCCCTTGGGAGGAAGTTCTAGACCCCCATGAGATCTCCTCTCAGTCTCCTCTTCTCCAGGCTGAACAAACCAAGTGACTTCAGCCTCTCCTCACACCCTTCTCCTCTAAACCCTTCTCCAGTGTTGTGTCCCTCCTCTGGACACTCTCCAGCAGCTTTAGCTCATTTTTCTCCTGTGGTGCCCAAACTGCCCCCAGTGCTGGAGGTGAGGCCACACCAGTGTGGAGTTGTGTTACCCCATGTACACTGTGGTAGAGCTTTATGCTTGGCTGGGAGTAGAGGCACATAAGTCATTCTTGCAACCTGCTCCCGCAGGACTTCTTTGGTCAGGGACAACCCCATTTCTTAGCAGGTGGAAACCCCCCAGGTTCTCTTGAGTTGGCTGATGAGAATCTGTGCCTTTGGCTGTGGGAGGTGCTGCCTTCTCCAGGGCTTGTACAGAAGCTTGGCAGCCGCTCCACCACACTGAGCTCCTGGTAGCATTCATCAGCACAATTACTGCTCCCCTCCTCATCCCCTGACTGCAGGCCAGCCCTCCTGGCTGGGAGCAGGTCACTCATTGCTGCTCTGGCTGTTTTTGTGCTGTTCAGATGGACAAACCCTTTGTGCAAGAGCCGTGACGTTCCACTCCTGATCCCTGCAGGGCTCAGGAAGTCCTGGGGTGGCCGGTAAATGATGGCACAGAGCTGGGGAGCAGAGACCAGGAGCAGCTTTGCACAACAGAAAGGGGCCAGAGCTGCAGTTCTGCTCCCCACAGCTCAGATGCAGCCTTGTAGGCCAGGTTTGTCTGCCACTAACGCTGAGAGCTCTCCTCTCTGCTCTCTTCCAGGGTCCTCAGAAGAAACACCTGGTGAAAGGGAAGCCAGGAGCACAGGAAGAGCTGTAAGGACTGAGACAGCAAAGCTGCCTAACTGGGCACCTTCAATAAAGAGGCTTCAAGCCACACCTGCTGCCTGTCTTCCTTCTGTTTGGGTGTCTGGCTGGTATTCAGTGTGCCTGTGGGCAGCAGTGTGTGTCCTCAAGGTTCCTCAGCAGGTGGGGATGGGACACTTGAGACTGGTCCATATGGACAGGGACTAACTGGGACAGTCAAGTGGCTGCTCTGTCCTCTGAATCCTCCCTTTCCTTTGCCCAGTGAATTTTTTTCTCACTGCCTGTATTGACCCAAACCACGGTGAAGACCCCTCTTCCTCTTCCAGAGGAGAGCAAAGCAGGTACTGACACTTCTGCCCCAGTTTCTACTGGGAATGCCCTGGGAATTCCACAGGGTCTCCCCATTACCTGCCTCTGCCCAGTCTCTCTGGGTATCAGTGCCCTTGCAGTCTCTCTCACACACACCCAGGCACTCCACTTGCTGAGCTGCAGGTATGACCCGTGAACTCCTCTCTGCACAAGGCCCCACGATCCCGGCCGGCATCCTCAGTGGATGTGGGAATTTGAGCACAACAAGCTGGTCAGACTGGGCAGGGGTGGATTTATTCTGATTTTGGACTCATTTCCCACCCATGTTTTCCTTGCAGTCCAGCTGCCTGCAGGGCGGGTGTGATGTATCTTGGAGCTGTGATGTCTTGGATCAGCGGTGATCACAGCTCCTTCAGTGCAGAACGAGTCTGGGCATCCTGCACCCTCTTTGGGAACCAGACAGTGGAAAGCTCAGCCCTCCACTGGTCCAGAGCTGCCCCCTTGGCCAGGAGTCCTGGCAACCTGGTAGGAGCTGCGTGAAGGTCTTGGGTCTCCAGCAAACCCCTTGCCCTGGGGTCTGGTTCTGTTCTGAATGTAGAGGAGCAGAGGCTCATCTACAAAAGCGCTGAGGATGAGATGAACCAAGAAGCTCAGACCCTATGGCATAGCCCTGGATGCAGTCAGTGGCCAAGCCCTGGCTGTCTCCGTGTCCCAGCGAGGTCCCTGAGCTCTGTGCAGTGTCCCTGCCCTGCTCCTGGGGCTGTGCTTCAGAGCCTTTTCTCTCCCTTGGCTGGTGGTGGGTCTCTAGGAAGTCCTCCAGTGGGTGGCTGAGGATCCAGGCCAGAGCGCATGATGGGAATGATGAGATCATCCATGTTTGGCATCACCAAAATTTTCTGAAAAGAAGAATCCAGAAAAACAAGTAAGTAATTTTAAAGGTCACTCACTGTCTGATCAGTGACACATCTGCTGGGAAGTGGCCTTGGAGGAGCCACAAGAGCTTGGGTCAGAGACTGGGGCTGTGAACAGAAGGTCCTGGGCTCCTGTCCCCTCAGCAGCTGACCGTGCCTGGCCCTAGAGGATTGTCCAGGATAGAGCTCTGGATATCTCAGGGTGGGGACAAGCAGGAGCAGTTTTTCTTTGCCCTGCTGACCTGTGTGTACAGCTTCAAGGCTGGTCACGGCAGAGGACAGGGACCAGCTCTGTGAAGCCATTCAAATGGGCAACTCTTTGTGGGGATTTGGGTATCTAAATACCTGTGGGGACATTTCTGCTCTTTGACCACAGGTCTCAAAGGTGAGAGGCTGGAAACAAACCAGTGGGTACCGTGTGATGGTATCTCCCACACATCCCAAAGCCAGAGTGGATGGGTGCCTTCAGCCCTTCTGGGTGGTGTCTGCTTGGGACTTGGTGACCCTCCTAATCCCCCTGGTTGGGGCAGGGCTGCATGTGCTGGGAGGAAACTACTTCTCCTCAAGCACTTCAGTGTTCAGAGCACCAGCCCTTGGAGCTGGTTACTTTGGTTGTGTTTCTAGACTGTCCAAAGCTGGACAGACCAGATCAGATGTTGGCTTTTTGTAGAGATCACCCTGATCCAAACTGAGGTCTGATTATCCCTAATGGCAGCAATGCCCATGATGCTTCAGCAGGGTTTGTTGAGCCCTTTAACAACACACCAGGCACCTGAAATTCATGCTGCAGCTTCTTCTCGATCCACTCGGTGACGTGGAGGAACGTCACCTCCCGCTCGCCCAGCTTCGGGCGCACCTTCAGCTCCAGCTGGGGTGGGACTCTGAAGCTGTACCTGTGAGGAGAAAGGAAAGAGGCAGAAAGTATCATGTCCTGAATACGTGGCACAGCCCACGTGTCCCCACTGCTGGGTTTTAGGGACCTGCCTCCTGGGAGGAGGTGGCTGGGTTGCAGTAGGAGCTCTGGGTCCCCAGATCCTGTCTTGGCCTGGATGGAGACCAGGAGAAATGAGTCTGAGGGCTTGGAATTCCCTTTGGGAGAACAGCCCTGGCTTGCTGGTGCCTCAGATAGACCCAAAGCCCCAGAGCTGGCTCCTTGGCCGAGCCACAGGGAGCAAGGGGAGCTGGAAGGAGGATGTGCGTGTGTCCCCATGTGGGAGGAAGGAGACCTGGTACCAGACACGGTCCGTTGGTGGTGGTGGGATGTTCACAGCCAAGGTGCCTGTCAGCTCCTGCACCTCCACCGTCAGCAGCAGCGGTGTGTTGGAAACCTCCTCGATCTTCTTTTTGATGAACTCGTTTTCAGTGGCTTTCTGGAAGTACTTGGACTTGGCGATCTTGTCCACAAAGCGCAGGATCTTGCGGCTCGTGCTGTGACCGCTGACGTGGCTAAAGCGAGGGGAGGGGCAGCTCAGCAGTGGGGTGAGACCCCCAGCCCCCCACCACAGCACCCCACAGTGACAGGAGTCCTCCGTGAAGGACTGTCACCATGGGCCAGGGTGCCTGTTTGCACCTTCCCATGGAAACTGGTCCCGAGTTCCTCCACAAAGCGCAGGATCTTGCGGCTCGTGCTGTGACCGCTGACGTGGCTAAAGCGAGGGGAGGGGCAGCTCAGCAGTGGGGTGAGACCCCCAGCCCCCCACCACAGCACCCCACAGTGACAGGAGTCCTCCGTGAAGGACTGTCACCATGGGCCAGGGTGCCTGTTTGCACCTTCCCATGGAAACTGGTCCCGAGTTCCTGCACCAGTGTAGCACCGTGTCCCCCCCAGCATCTCCCCATAGACCACACAGCACAGACCCCAAATATCCCCTTACCCCTCGGTGCCGGGCGGTGGGACCCGCTCCCCCAGGGCTCCTGTGGGCTCTGTGGTGGCAACATCATCCTCATCGGAGGAGCCGGCGCTGGATGACTCCGCATCGCTGTCTGCCAGCAGGATCAGCCGTGGCCTGGCCCTGCAAGCCCCAGGGAGCATCACGGGGTGCCCTGGGACCAGCACCCGCTCACCTCGCTTGGGCAGGGGGAGGAGATGATGAAACGCAGCCATATGCTGTATCCTTACCCCTCTCCACCTGCCTCTGCTGGGCTGCTCTCCTCTGCAGCGCTCTCCTTCCCCAGCTTGCAGAGGTTCATCTTTGTCTCGAGCGTCATCTGCAACGAGCCGCTGTAGGTGACCTCCATGTCCACCCAGAGCCCTGCCGGGGAGAGGGACGGGGCAAGCTCCTGTCAGCACCACAGGGGCCGAGGGCTGCTTGTCTGCTTGATGCCACCTCCCTGCTTTGGTGACAACAGCTGCCATGGAGCCCGCCCTGGGACAACAGCTGCCATGGAGCCAGCCCTGGGGTCTCTGCTGCTCTGCAGGGCTCTTACCTCGGTCATTGATGGTGGGGTTGGAGGCGCTGAGGACCGAGGGGATGGATGTGCCCATGTCCAGCTCCGTCAGTGTCAGCTCATTCATGAAATACGGGAGCTGATGGAGGGAAAGCACATGGGGATGGTCACCGCAGCCTGGCATCCACCGTGGGAGCTCAGGAACGAGACAGGGCTCCCCTGGGTGCTGTGATGCTCTTGTCTCTCACCTTGATCTTACTCAACTTCTTCTGGATCTTGTTGGACACTTGCTCAGCCCAGTATCGCTCCCGGAGGAAGTCCCAGAAGATGCGTCCCACCAGAGCGTTCATCCAGGCCATGCACACCTCGCTGCGCCCAGCCCCGTCCTCGC